GATGACCATCCCTGATGTCCCTCATCTGTCAGACATATCTGTTCTTGTTCCCAATCTGCTTGGAGGTTGGTCCCTTGTCCCCAGTGAGGATAGAAACCTGGGTCCCCAGGGGACAGACTCACCTGCATGCACTGGGGTCCTCAGGCCCACGTTCAGCCCTGCAAGAGAGTCCCTATGAGAGATTTGCCCTGAATTCTGAGCAGAACCCTCCTCCCCAGGAGCCTCCTCAGTCCTGGGGTTCTTCCTGACAGAGCAGGGCTTCCCCTCCTGCTTTCACATCTCACCAAGGCAGAGCAGGGCTGTGAAGGTACGGGCCATGGTATCTCCTCTCTGGTTCTGGCTGTTCAAAAGGAAGAGGCCACAGAGTCCTCAGAACAGAGAGATGGACTGGGTGTGGCCAGTGGGAGGCTGTCCCTACTTGTCTTGGTGATGTCACATCAGCAGCCCCACAAGAAGAGGAACAGTGTCTTCCCACAAGACTGGTTGTTGTTTCCAAGATCAAGCAGCTAATTGATCCACAGCCTCCTGAGACACCCCTTGCAGGTGAGGTGACTCAGGGCATGTCCTTCCAGGTCAGAGCCTCCCCAACAGGGTCTTCTTCCCCCTCATCCCAGCCATTAGCGCCTCCCTGTAGTTCCTCCCCATGGACAGTGGTCACCCAGGCCCTACAGATGCTTCAGGAAGATGAGGGTCCCTGTGCCTGCAGAGCTCAGGTCAGCAGAGACACAGTGTTCTCACTGTGCAGTTCAGGTGAGTATCACTGTGACAATGAGCAAAAAAGGGGAAATGCAGGGAAATAAGGAAGGAAACGTGTCTGTTTTATGGCCCCGGCATCTGGGCTTTCTTTTTATTTTGTGTTTTCCACAAACTTCTCTTTTATCTTAGCGACAGCATCTACCCTCTCCTTTTTGAGAGCAAACCTTTGAGTTATTTTTGCTCTCATTGCCCCTTGTTCCATGGGCAGAGTGGTCCTCCTGGTATCACAGCTTTGGGCTAGACCTTTGACTTGTCGAGGCAAGTTCATCTTTACTTAAATATTAGTGTCCTCTCTGCCTACCTGTGTGAATGAAGCAGGAACATCAGGATCAGATGTTGTCTTCTTTCATTTAAGATAAGAGAAGACTTGCTTATTTATTCGCTTTTCAATAAATTTAAACCTTCAAAGGGGAGAGCATGCCATGGATTCTGTGTTCAATTGTCTCAGTAGGAAGGTTGCTTCAGATTTTGGCAGAGCCATGCCACATTTACCTGCACACGAGCTACTTTTCCCCAGGGGACTCTGGTTTTGTTTGGTTTGCCACCAGCAGCCGCTGTGTTGGTCATTGTATTAAGGAGCCCATCTCTTGCCTAGATAAAGTTCCACTTCCTCTCAAGCACAAACACCTTCAGTTTTCTGTGCTCCCTCTGGTCCTAAAGACCCCACCTATCACTGGCAACCATGTCCCAGAACCCTAGCCTTCCAGACATTGTGTCATTTGAGAAGTTCCCTTCCCAACGGGGCCCCAAAGTTCAGTAACAGGAATACCATTCACCTCCTTTTTCTTTTCCACGTTTGTAAGTTATTTGGTATCCATGTTTATGTGGAAACTCTAGTATGGTGTTCTAGTCTTGAAATATCCTTTTCAGACTTTTATGCTAGCCTATGTAAATATGTGTTAGCTCTAGAAAATATCTGTAAAACCAGTGTCTACTATCCCACAATTGTTTGAAAGAACTCAGTGTATATCTTGATGGACCAGAAGTTAATTTTGTGCAACAATTTTAATTTTCAGGTGTAAATGTTTGGTAGTTCGATGATGATTCAGATTCTCTATTAACTATTATTACTTTTTGGAGTAAGGGAAGGTTTATCCATTGAGAAGGTGCCCACAGAGGAGGTGGGAGATTTAATCGTACCTCAAATTTGTCTTTAGAAAGTACAGAGTTCAGGCTTCTTTTATGTCAAGGAGAAGGGAACCAGGAGGGGCAAAAGGTGACAGATGACGGCAGACACCTGGGCCCCAGCAGAGGACTGAAAAAGATTGTGCTAGTTGATGTGATACAATTCCTGTCAAGATATCAATGGAGTATTTCACACAACTAGAACAAACATTCCAAAAATTTATATGGAACCATAGATGACCCAAAATAGCCATGGCAATCTTGAGAAAGGACAAAATTAGAGGAATCACACTACCTGAGATCAAACTATACTTCAAAACTGTGGTAATCAAAACAGCATGGCACTGGCATAAAAACAGACACATAGACCAATGGAACAGAAGAGAGATCCCAGAAATAAACCCATGCCTTTATGGTCAATTAATATTTGACACAGGAGGCAAGAATATGCAATGGTTTGGGGAAACTGGGCAGATGCAGGAAAAAAATGAAGCTCAACCAACTTCTTACAACATACACAAGAATAAACTCAACCTTGATTAAAGAGTTAAATGTTAAACTCAAAAGCATAAAAATCCTAGAAGAAAACATAGACAGTAAAATCTCAGACATTTTTTATAGCAGGGGAAACATACAAAAAAATTGACAAATGGGACTACATCAATCTATTTATTCCAGGAAAAAAAATTGGATATTAGTCCTTTATCTAAATTGGATAAAGTTTTTCATAAATTGTACTTGTTTATTGTGAAAAGATTTTATTCTAAAGTAGAACTGGAGGATATAAAACAGGAAGTCTTACATATGGGTTCTCAGGTAAACTCAATGTAAAAACTGCAAGAGTGATTTCCCATAAATTTGTGATGTACAGAAAGCTGAAACTACCCTCAACCAATGAACCTCCACCAAGAGCTTCTCCCCATCCTGAAGGCAATGAAGTTGCTGCTTGAAGTGAATCTTCCCACTCATTCCTTACATTTTTTGCCCATTAATATCGCCTGCCCCAAATTCTCAGTGAACTCACCTGTAGCATGCTACAGTTTGCATGTCTCAAATTGCAGTTCTTCTGCTACTCACAACCTAACTCAATTTTTCATCATTAGAGCATACCTCAGTTTACTTCTAGTATTGAATTTGACACTAAAAAAGTCCATGGGATCTATAGTGATGTCTCATTCCACAACAGATATTGGTCCTTGGTACTATATCTCTATTTTTTTTTGTCCAATGTTGCTGGAATTTAAACATTTTAACTCATAACTATCAACAACCAAACCTTTAAAAATAACAAATGAACTAATCAAACAACTTGAACGGGAACAGAATCAATGAAATGGAGATCACATGGAGGGTTATGAGCTGGGGAGGAAGAGGGGGAGAAAGAGAGAAAAGGTACAGAGAATAAGAAGCATAAATGGTAGGTACAAAATAGACAGGGGGGCAGTTAAGAATAGCATAGGAAATGTAGAAGCCACAGAACTTCTACCCAATGGACATGAACTAAGGAGGGGAATGTGAGTGGGAGCGGGTGTGCTGGGTGGATGGGGAAAAGTGGGTAAATGGGACAACTGCAATAGCATAATCAATAAAATATATTTTAAGGAAGAACATTCATGAATTAATACTTTTGGCTTTATTAATGCTACGAACTGAATACTAACATCCTGGCAAATTCATATGTTGAAGCCCTAACCCCCAGAGTGGCTGTAATTTAGAAGTGGAGCCTCTAAGAAGTAGATTAAATAAGGTTATAAGGGTAGAGTTCTGATTTGATAAGATCAGCTTTCTTCTAAGAAGAGAAACCAGATGGCTCATTCTGTCTCTTTGTTCTTACACCAATGAAAGTACACAGGAAGAAGGGCCATTCACAAGCCCAGGGAGAGACCCACCACACACCAACCCTTCTGTCTCCTTGATCTGGGACTTCTACTCTCCAGAGCTGTAAACAAGTAAGTATGTGTTGCTTAAACCTTTCGGTCTATGACATTTTGCTATAGAAGCCAGAGCAGAATAATATAAAAATTGGTACCAAGACTGGGAAGCAGCTTCGGAACTGGTAATGGGAAGCGTGCATGCTAGAAATATTCTAGGTGCTGTAGAATGGACTGCTGGTGGATATATGGACAGTAATGTTGACTCTGATGGGGGCTCAGAAAGAAGAGAGGAGATAAAGCCTCCACCTTCTCAGAGAATACATGATGAAGCCAACAGAATGTTGGTTCGATAGAAATATGGGTGGTAACATTCATTTCAGTGAGTCTTCAGATAAAATGACTAATAAGGTATTAGACGATGAAGGAAAGGGGATTTTCATTATCCAGTGGTAAAGAACTTGGCTACATTGTCTTCTAATGCTTCTAGAAGGTGGAACTTGGCAGGCATAAAGTGGCACATTCCTAAGCAAAACATTGACGTGTGACACAGTTCCTCCTGAATGCTGATAGCAGCTTTTGAGAGGAGAGAGGTGAATTGAAGAATGAATGGTTAAGCAAATGGACCCAGAAGTTAATGAGCTGGAAAATCCCTGGCCACTCATGTGGCTACAAAAAAAAGTGGCTTTAGGAGAGCATGACACAGGTGGGGATGGACTGTCAGTCAGTGGAGAGATGATAGGATTGTTGGAATGGAAACACCTCTTGGACACGACAGGCTGGGATGATAGTTACCTGTCTGCAAATGTGTGCTATTATTCTTCAAGGAAAGGAAAGAATGGCCCCAAAGGCAGTTATCAGGGGTTATCAGGGCTGCCCCACTGACCTCAGAGTGAGAATCACTTCCTTGGATTCAACATGGCAGCCCTGTGGGATTCAACATCCCACTCCCTCAAAGCCATGGGAGTGGGGTTCTCACAGGGAAATGAAGGTGCTAAGCCACCAAGCTGAGCCATGGAGGTAACACTGCCACCCCAGAATGCCTGGAAAGCAGAACATCGAATCTAACCACAATGCTGTGCCCCTGAAACTAATGTAAAATACTATTGAAGGTCAACTGTAATTGAACAAGAGTATTTTTTAAAGATTTTATTTATTTATTTTCAGGAAGGGAAGGGAGGGAGAAAGAGAGAGAGAGAGAAACATCAATATGTGGTTGCTGGAGGCCGTGGCCTGCAACCCAGGCATGTGCCCTGACTGGGAATTGAATCTGCGATGCTTTGGTTTGCAGCCTGCGCTCAATCCACTGAGCTACTCCAGGCAGGCTGAACAAGAGTATTTTTTTTAAAGAAAGAAATTGAACCCAAAAGAGAGGAAAGAAAGATTTAATTAATGTTGCCTTGTGAGATGTTGAATGTGCCTGGATCCCCTGTCTTTCTGATTTTTCCTTCTTGAAATAGGAATATCCTTCCTATGCCCGCCTCAGTCTTACATGTCAGAAGCACGTAACTTGTCTGGGTTGCAGGTTCACAACTGCAGAGGAATTCCACCTTAAAATGAGTCCTATCTCGAGTCTCACCCGTGTCTGATATAGACAGTATGTTGATGAGACTTTGAACTTTAGGCTTGAGAGCTGATGCTGGAATGAGTGGAAGTATGGGGCACTGTAGAGTTCAAAGGAATGTACTGTGCATGGGAGAAGGACATGAAATTGGGGGGTTCAGGGAGGAATGTGGTACATTGAATACATATGTTCTGCCCCCCTCTCAAAATTCATGGTAAAGCCCTTAATTGCCAGCATGACTGTATTTGGAGATGGGGTCTGAGGCAGTAGTTAAGGTTAAATGAGATCATAAGGGTGGGCCCCTGATGAGGTAGTTTAGTGTCCTGAAAACAAGAGACACCAGGGGGCTCTCTCCCCCTCTCTCACACACACACAGGAAAGGCCATTTGTGCAGAATGCAGGCAGCCACCCACCACCCAAGGGGACAGGCTTAGCAGACACTAACCCTGCTGGTATCTCGGTCTCTGGCTTCCAGCCTCCAGGGTGATGAGAGAATAGATTTCTGGGGGTTAAGCTGCCAAGTCTGTAGTCCTATGCTGTGGAATGCAAGCAGATGAACACAATTAACGTTTCTTATTTTTGTTCTTTCTGTGTAAATACATGTTCTTATTTTTTTTTGTCCTCTCTTGAGGACATGCTTATTGATTTTAGAGACAGGAGGAGGGAAGAAGATAGAGAGGGAGAGAAACATCGATGTTAGAGAGAAACATCAATGGGTTGCCTCTCATATGTGTCCTGACTGTAGACCACACCCTCAACCTAGGTTTGTACTCTGACCAGGAATCAAGCCAGCAACCTTTTGGTTTATGGAACGATGCTCTAACCAACTGAGCCACACCAGCCAGGGCCATGTTCTTATCATTTTTATATCCTTTCATCCACTGTCCTGGGATGAATTTCTGATTCTTTGTCTAACTTCTTTAGATGCTCATCCAAGTCACCGAATTCTAGGCTTTCTCTCTCTAGGAATTTTGTTTAGGCACTTAATATTCCCCTTTGATCTTGATATTTAACATTTGCATTACCATTCAAGTCAGAATTTGTGTTGATGTATATGATCCACATTTATTTTTTTTGTAAAAACAAAATTTATTTATTTATTTTTAGAGAGGGGAAGGGAAGGAGAAAGAGAGAGCAAGAAACACCAATGTGTAGTTGCCTCTCATGCGCCCCCTACTGGGGACCTGGCCCACAACCTAGGCATGTGCCTTGACTGGGAATTGAACCAGTGACACTCTGATTTACAGGCCCACCGTCAATCCACTGAGTTACACCAGCCAACACAATATTTATATTTTAAGTGAAAAAATTTCTATCTTCTTTTCTGATTTACTTCTCCCAATCACTGATTATGTAGAGGTGTGTTGTCCTTGTTCTAAATATATAGAGTACACACTTCCAGTCATGATGGATGTGTAGGTAGATACACTTTGCCTCCTTGCACACCCAAAAGAAGGACAACAAATTAAAAAAAAAAACAGAGCTGCCAGAAAATTGAACTCAATGGAAGTCTGACAACAGAGGAATGAAAGAAGAAACATTCATCCATATTGGTAGGACAGGTCTGAGATGGGAAGCTCGGATGGAGAGGAATCACAGCAAGTCAGCAGCTGGAGGACTAGGTGGTCCCACATTTGCATGTGGATAAACAGGGAGGAACAACTGGGGAATGAGACAGACTGAGCACCCAGGATTCCAGCACAGGAAACTAATCCTCAAAACCACTGGTAGTAAAACCTGCAGGGGTTGCAGTGGTGGGAGAAACTCCCAGTCTCACAGGAGAGCTCCTTGGAGAGATCTACAGGGTCCTAGAATGTACACAAACCCACCCACCCAGGAATCAGCACCAGAAGGGCCCAATTTGCTTGTGGGAAGAGGGGGAAGTGACTGAAAGCTGGCCAAGAGTGGAACAAACCTCATTGTTCCCTCTTGGATCCCTCCCCCACATACAGCTCCACAATGAACCAATGTAGGTTGCCCCTCACTGGTGAATACCTAAGGTTCTGCCCCTTACTACACAACAGGTGCTCTGAGACAATTAAATATGGCTCAGATGAAAGAAAAAATCAAAGCTCCTAAAATAGAACCAAGTGATGAAGAGATAGCCAACCTATCAGATACAGAGTTCAAAACACTTGTAATCAGGATGCTCACAGAAATGGTTGAGTATGGTAGCAAAATAAAGGAAGAAGTGAAGTCTATGAAAAGTGAAATGAAGGAAAATACACAGGGAACCAACAGTGACAGGAAGAAAACCAGGACTCAAATCAATGGTTTGGACCAGAAGGAAGAAAGAAACAACCAACCAGAACAGAATGAAGAAACCAGTATTCAAAAAAAAGAGGAGAGGCTTAGAAACCTCCAGGACAACTTTAAATGTCCAACATCCAAATCATAGTGTCACAGAACAACAAGGGGGCCTGGGATGATATACTATTACCCGAAAGGAACCCCCCAGGTTCGTTATGTCTACCGCCAGAGGGAAGACATATCTCAATGCCAGAGATTTATGAAAAAGAAAGGAAATGTTTATTTAATGCTACACAGACTTAAATTGGCATTCATCAAATCCCAAAGTCCCTTAAAACACCCGCAAACACACACAGTCCTTCCTTCCCCCTCTTTGCTCAGGCTGGGGCACCGTATCTCGAAAAAAGAAATAGAAGTCCATGGCTCAGGCAGCCCCCAGTTCTTCCCAGTAATCCATCTCAGCTGGTAAGCCTCCCTCAGTTCCTAGCACCATCAGCTGTGTCGCCGGGATCTCTGCTAAAGCCAGCTGGTGGTTCCCCCTTCTAAAGCTACAGGGGTCCTCACTCTGGCAAAGCTGTGAGGTGCTCTCTCCACTGTCCCAGCCATGTGGTTCTCCCTGCACAATGGCTGCAGGAGTCTCCACTTTGCCAAAGCCTTGTGGTTCGCTCTTCCAAGGCCACAGGTGTCCCCACTCAGCCAAAACCACATGGTTCTCCCTCTAATGGCTGCCGTGTCTGGGATTAAATCCCTCCGCCAATCTTCCTCTGCAGCCCCATTTCCGACTCCGCCTACATTTGACCACACATGCTAGCACTCTCATATCCTTCCAACTTCACTGGACTGCCATCATGAGTTTGGGCAGGCGTGGCCTCATTTCATGGAGCCAATCCTCTCCAAGTTCCCACACAGGTGCTGTAACTCAGGGGACCTGCCACCCAGCTACATCTTGGTGGGGAAGTTACTTCCATTCCCCTGGCTCAGAGCATGGCCACCGCTATTTAACATATCTATGTAACCAATTAAAGGTTATAGATATATTCAATGACCATGCCAGAGGTTAGCTGCAAGGCTGTTGCTAGGTGAAACAGCTCTCAATGGCCCTGTTCCATTTGTCCCTTCCCCCAACCCACACCTGTGGGGGTGGGCAGTGAGGGCATCCTAATATTTCCTGAACACCTTGAGGTCTGGACCCCATTCCAAATCCCTATTTGGGGTCCCCCTCTTGGCTGCACCCTGTTACAGTAGGAGTGCCAGAAGGAGAAGAAGAAGAGCAAGAATTCAAAAACTTATTTGAAAAAATAATGAAGGAGAATTTCCCCAACCTGGCAAAGGAAAAACACTTCTGGGAAGTCCAGGAAGCTCAGAGCATCTCAAAGAATTTGGACCCAAGGAAGCACACACCAAGGCACATCATAAATACATTACACAAGATTAAAGGTAAAAAGAGAATCTTAAAAGAAGCAAGATAAAAGGAGAGAGTTACCTATAAAGGAGTACCCATCAGACTGTCAGCTGATTTCTCAAAAGAGACCTTGCAGGCAAGGAGGGGCTGGAAAGAAGTATTCCAAGTCATGGAAGGCAAGGACCCACATCCAAGATTATTCTATCCAGCAAAGCTATCATTTAGAATGGGAAGGCAGATAAAGTGCTTCCCAGATAAAGTCAAATTAAAGGAGTTCATCATCACCAAGCCCTTATTATATGAAATGTTAAAGGGACTTTTCTAAGGAAAAGATGATCAAAACTATGAACAGTAAAATGACAACAAACTCACAACTATCAACATCTGAATCTAAAAATGAAAAGAAAAATGAACTAAGCAAACAACTATAACAGGAACAGATTCACAGAAATGGAGATCTCATGGAAGGTTATCAGTGGGAGGGCAGAGGATGGGTGAAAAAGTACAGGGAATAAGAAGCATAAATGGTAGGTACAAAATAGACAGGGGGAGGTTAAGAATAATATGGGAAATGGAGAAGCCAAAGAACTTACATGTATGACCCATGGACATAAATTAAGGTGGGGGAATGCTGGTGGGAGGGGGGTACTGGGTAAACGAGAATAAAGGGGAGAAAAAAATGGAACAACTTTAATAGCATAATCAATAAAATATATTAAAAAAGAAAAAATAAAAGTACAGAGTTCATGGTTATCTTCCTCTGCAGAACGAGGTGACTTCTAGGTCTTGTGGTATCTTGCTTGCTTACAGAGCATCCTCAGACTTGGGATCAGTAGCGAAGCATCCAAGTTGACAGCCCCTGTGCCATCTGGGGTCCCTGCAGGCCCCTTCTCTAAAGTGTGGGTTCTGGGTCCTTTCTGGGCTAGTGGACGGCCAGAGCAGCATACACACTGGGCTCATCTGGGGGCTCCTCTGATGGGGGGGAACGGGGTGCACTTGCTGCTCGTTTGAGGGTCTTGTGGTTCAGCTGGGCATAGGTCACATCCTGGGGGTCTTCAGATGGAGTATCCTGGAGGGGGTAGAGTGAGGGATAGCTGTATGATTGGGCTGGGGGTAAGCCAGGGCACTGGGAGCAGAAATGATCCACATAACCACCATCTGCCTATCCTCTCCCACGTGCCTCTCCTTTGTGTCCAGCAATTCCACAGACAGGGCAGAAGGCAGGATGGCCCCCCTCTGCCTGAGCTCTGAGTGGTTCATCTGGGTACACGTCACTCCCTGGGGTTAATGTAGCCAGGGCTCTGCTGGGGAGGAGGGGTAGAGACAGGAGAGGGTAGAATTTATCTCCTTGTTTTGCTTGCTCCTCTTTTTAAAAAAGAAAATAGATTTTGTTTATTTATTTTTAGAGAGAGGGGAAGGGAAGGAGAAACAGAGTTAGAGAAACATCAGTGTGTGGTTGCCTGTCACGTGGTCCCCATTGGGAACCTGGCCTGCAACCCAGGCATGTGCCCTGACTGGGAATCAGACCCTCCACCCCTTGGTTCACAGGCTGGTGCTCAATCCACTGAGCTACACCAGCCAGGGCACCCCTCTTCTGATAAGATTTGGAGAAACAGCTCTTTGGGGGAGACTTAAGAGTTGTTCGTGTGATGTTAAAATGACTGCTGGACAGATAGCAGAGATGGCTCTATTGTCTTTGAGGCTGGGGCTCAGACAAGAGGACAGAGCTGTAAAAAAATTGTGGATTCATGAACAGAGAGAGGGTCCAGCTACATCTGGGATTCAATAAATAAGGCAATGTAAAGTACAGAGTTGTCTCAAGGTGAAGTGAACAAGACAGTGGACTTCCTATGGGAGTAGGAGACTAATGCATCTAAATCCACGAGACTGGAGGAAAGGGAGAAAACAGAGACAAAGGAAGTCTAATCTACAGCGGGTTTGTGTGAATCAGAAAAGGCATGCTGAGCCCTGGCCAGTGTGGCTCAGTTGATTGGATTGTTGTCCTGTAGATCAAAGGGTTTGGGTTCCATCCTCGATTGGGGTGCATGGGAGAAGGCAACCAATTGATGTCTCTCTCTCTCTCTCTCTCTCTCTCTCTCTCTCTCTCTCTCTCTCTCTCTCTCTTTCTCTCTCTCCTTCCCTCTCTCATCCTCCTCCTCCCTCTCCCTCTCTCTCTCCCTTCCTCTCTCTCTGAAACAATGAAAAGGTGTCCTCAGAGGAGGATTAAAAAAAAGGAAATAAAAGGCACATCAGTCAGATGCCACCAGTAGGATGTCACACCCTACAGGGCTTATTGTGCACAAACTGTACAACTGTCCATGGAAGCACCACCATCACGAGATATGGATAACTGAGCATCAAAGAGACCCAAGTAAGGGAACTGAGAAGGAGGGGCCCACGTGCTACCAGGAAAACCCACTGAGAAGTGGTGTTCCAGCAGGTGGCCCAAGTCCCTTTCAGGAGAATGGGCAAGGTCAGAGGATGCTGAAAACTGAGTGACAGGAGGAGGGAGAAGCATCCTCACAATTTATCTTATTAACGAGTCTGCAGTGGGTGCCCTGGGCAGGGCAAGGGTCTTACCTTACTGTCCATCACTTCGTCTTCCTCAGATTGGGAATCTCTCATGGAAGAACCTTCAGAAGGAGAAGATTCTATCTCATGGCAAGATCCCTGGAATCCTTTGATCCTACACACCCTTCCTGATCTTAGGTGGGAAGACTGAGGTTCATCAAGGAGCAGGGATGTACCTGGGGCCACACAGATTTAGGATTTTCATTCTTGCTGACCCCTAAGCCCAGAACCCTTCCCAACCACTCCTCCTGCTCCTGTGTCCCACCAAGACCTCACCTCCTCTCTGATTGCACTGGTTCTCCCCCTGAACAGGAGCCACAGAGCTGGAGCTGAGCAAGGAGAGCAGGAGTGTTAGGCAGTGGTGAAGGAGCTATAGGTGGAGGAGAGGTCTAGGGAGGTTTGGGAGAAGAAACTACCTTTTCTGTAGTGCTCTGGTCTTAACTTCAGGGTCTGAAACACCTGTAAAGAGTTAGACATTAGTTTCTAAACTACCCCAGAACCCACCCCCAGGGCTGCATTAAGATCTCAGCAGCTAGGATCCCCACCATCCCCAACCCCAGGGTCCACTGGGAATTCAATGTAAACAAAATTAAACGGTAGCACTCAAAAGTTGCATGGCAGATTTAAACAAGTTTTTATGAACCCAAAAGAATATTTTCAAAGGTGTCTGTTCTTATTAAATCCCTCATTCTCATAGAGGATGGTATGTAGAAGCCAAGATGTGGATGATAGGTGTGCTTATTTCTAATGGGCTGTCACTGTGTCTTGGTCTGAGCTGGTACACACAGTACAAATATACCTGTAACTACTTCTGTACCAACTGATCCATATATATACATATATATATATACACACATACATATATATACACATATATATAAATAATATTTATACTCACATATATATTTAGAAACAGGGGAAGGGAAGGAGAAAGGAAGGGAGAGAAATACTAATTGGTTGCCTCTAGCATACCTCCAACTGAAGACCTGGCAACCTAAGCATGTGCCCTGACCAGGAATTGAAATGGCGACCCCTTGGTTTGCAGGATGACACCCAACACCCTGAGTTACACCACTGAGGGCTATGTATTTATTTCTATTGGGGTCATACTGTAACAGACAATGAGAAGCATATGATCTTTATGCAATATTGTACTAACCAGAATTACATGTACTAAGCAATAAACTAACACGTCTGTTAGAACAAAAAGAGGAACAAACTTTTTTCTTTCTTTCTTTTTTTTGCCTACAAACTCTATTTTAGACTCCATTTTACTATTTTACAGGGACCAGCAGTTCCCATTCCTACCCTGAAAGGTGTTGATCGGCCATAGGAATTCGGCTGATACTGACATGTTGACACCGAGATCTTTGTCGGAACCAAACAAAAACACTGCCCGTGCATCCTCATGGCCCTCTCCTCTCCTTAGAAAAGCTACTGGCTTAAACAGAGATGTTAAGTTTTGTTTTGTTTTTTTAGGACAGGAGTCTGCCATCATTTTGGATCCTCAGCACCTCAATAAATCTCTTTCCTTTTCATGAGCACCTGTCTCACGAGTCTTTGCTTTTATCGCAGCAGGCCGCTGAACCTGCATTTGGTAACAATACTAACATTTTTTCTTTTAACTGCTTTTTAGACAGAGAGAGAGGGGGGAAGAGGGGAGAGAGAGAGAAACATCGATTGGGCTTCTTGTGCACTCCCAGAGACGTAATTGAACATGCAACCTGGGTATGTGCCCTGACTGGGAATTGAACCCATGACCTTTCAGCCTATGGAATGATATTCCAACCAACTGAGCCACACTGACTAGGGAAACAATCCTGACATTCTCATTTCCAACCAAACACCTCAATCTGTCCTAGCCAACTGCTTTTGCACATTTTCAAATACTTCGTGGGCATTTAACCCCATGTATTCACATATTTTCTGAAAACAATGGAATTCCTAACTACCTCAACCCCCACCCCTATTCCTCACCACCTTGCCCACACCCCACTGCTCTTGCCTGCAGGATGACAATGATACCTCCTTGTGGCTCCCCATTTCCCTTGCTAGCATAGTCCTTCTGGTTCTGGGTACATCCCTGCTACCTCCACACAGGACCCCCCTCATCATCACCACACTTCCATGGGAATCTCAGATCCCTGTCTCAAGAAGATTATCAAGGAAGCTGGGATAGAAAGAGTTTTCTAGAAATGGTTGATTAATTAGGAAAAATTTCAAAACTCAACATTATATATTTTTTGAGCCATATTTTGGCTGGTGCCCTAGGAAGCCACTTCCTAGGTCTTTAGAGGAGGGTCACACCTCTCATGTAGACCAGGTAGACCAGGCCTCCCCATCTTCTACTCACCTGACTTTCTGCATTTCTTCTGGTGCTTGAGGAGGAAGAGGAGAAAGAGGAGGAAGCAGAGCAGCAGGACGAAGGCCACAGAGACTCCAATAAAAATTTTCTGGTACTTTTGAAGACCTTGGACACAAGGATGTCATAGATGAAGCGATGATGCCAGTTAAATGAGCACCTACTGTGTGCCAGGCACGTTTGGGGGGTTCTGTGCATTAATCACCTCTAACCTTCATAACAATCAAGCCAAATATGAGTGCCAGTCCCATTTCCAGTGGTTTCCCAAACACAGAAACTGAGGCTCAGAGAGATCCACCAGGTGCTCCAGGTCATCTATCCAGGAAGTGGCAGAGCTGGAATTTGAACCCAGGACTGTGGGTTCTCTTGTGCTCCATCCATGTTCCCCCACCAGACAGACATCAGCTTTGGGTTCTTGGAGCTGCTCCCCTAATTGGAATGGCCTGTCCCCTGGTCCCAGCCCTGTCCTTTACCTAGAGCTGAATGTGTCTTCCCATTGTTGCCCCCACTCACCAACACATCGGAAGCTGTGGGGGACCTAAATGGGACCCCTCAGAGCCAGAGTCTGTAAGCAGTGACCTCTGTGACCTTCCCCATCCCTATGTCCAGTGAAGATCTGTCCTCTGTCCTGCAGACCCCACACTGTCATGTGGGGACCCCTTGAATGTTTCTGAGTGTATATCTGGGAGGGGACATGAGGATGGAGCTGCTATTGCCCTAGCACCCTCTCCATGCTGGGGGCTCCCCTAAATCTCTTAGCAGACCTCTGAGGGGGTGGCAGGAACCACATTTCATGGATGATGAAACTGGGACTCAGAGAAGGAATGTGGCTCATCCCAGGTCCCACAGCCGGGAAGCAGCAGAGCTGGGATTGACATCCTGTAGAGCCTGGCTTCCAAGCCCTTGTGGGTTTTGGTTTGATTTTGTTGGTTTTCCTCCAATAAGAAAAGACTGAGCACCACAGGAGGATCGGAAAGCACTCGGGATGCCACCTCCATCATGGCTCTGTTTGTCCCTAACACCCCAAACACCCAGCACTGCTTGCCCTTCACTTCTTCAAACCAGCATGGTACCTGCAGGGTCAGAAGTGTGGTGTGTTTTGAGGTCTGAGGCAGGATTCTCCTCTGTGGCACAGGGAGAAATGGAGTCTTAGTCGGAAAGGGACATGCCCCAAATCACCATGTCAAGGACCACTGAGATCCCTTGCCCCCTACACTGGATATCACCTGTACATTGTCAACCAAGGTTGTGGAGTTAAGACCTAGTCCCTGCCTTCTCCCCTTTTAAATCCAGTTGTTCCACCCCTAAGCTGGGCCCCCACATCTTCCTCTGCCCTGACCACCCTACCCATCAGCTACCAGGCTCAGAACCCCTGGAATCCAGTGATTTCCCCCAGCATCTCTGCCTGACTCCCAGTCCTCAGAAAACAAGCCTGTCTCTGAGGATCTGAAGGGGCATAAGACTCTCTGAGAGACTCTCACAGCTGCCTTGGGCTGGCCTGTGTTCCCTGTGAGTCATGAGGCCCCAGTAACTCACCAAGTGTTGAAATGGGCCCTGTGGGTGGAAGGTTGGGGCTCCCAGAGGGTCCTAGGTAAAGAAAAAAAGGATGGTGAAAGTCTGGAGCTCCCCACAGACACTCAGTATTTGCTCACACTCTTCTTCTGCCTGTGGCCCCACAAGGCCATTGCTCCACACACTTGGAAAATTCTAGTGATAGGTATGTGGAATGGACCCAGCTGTTCTCCGTCACTCTAAGGGGGAGATCCTTGTCTAGATGACTCTGTCACTCAGCTCTCTCACTCCCATCCCATACTGGGGTTCTCCTAAGCTGATCACAGGAACATAAAGAAAATGGGTGTGGGCTCTTTACCTGAGACCAGAAGCTCCAGGGTATCACTGGGTGATGACCATTTCTGGGGGGTGTACCTCTCATAACCATAGCATCTGAATGTCCACCTGTGGGTGGGTGTCACGGGACCCACAGAAAACAGGGCCTAAAACTCCCCACTGGACTGTTGCTGTGAGTCCATGGTCCAGGAGAACCTGTGTTCTCTTTCCTTGGTCAGAATGAACCTGTCAAAAACCTGCTGTGAGCCACACTGGAGGGTCACGTTTCCTCCTGAGGTCACCACAGGGCTGGGCAGGGCTGAGAGGATGGGTTTGCTGTAGAAACCTAGGAGAGAATGAGGCAGCATATTAAATAGGGCTCACACCTCCCTTACATCTCCCAGGACTGGGCTATGATGGGGAGACCCCCTGAGAACATCCCCCTTCCTAAGGCAGAGCCTGGGGCTGGGACCCCTGAGTGTCCTCTCACCTGTCACCACCAGCTCCAGGGGGTCACTGCGCTCTGACCAGACCCTGTGGCTGAGATAATGACACTGATATCTCCCTGCAGTGTGCTCTGTCATGTGTGTGATGGAGAACTTGGCCTTGTTCCTAGGATCCAGTGGCATTTGTCTGTCCCAGGGTGCTGAGCTTCCTTCTTTATCCAGACGATACTCCTCAGCCTCTAGGCTCCCCTGACACCACATAGTCACAGGCCTCCCCCAGGGGACCATGGAGCCTGGCACAGTCCAGAGGGTGGGTTTGGGGAGGGTCCCTGGAAGGAATCAGAGGCTGAGTCAGAACATTTCCTACACAAGTGCCCAGCTCTCCAACCCCAACACTCAGATGTCCTTCATCTGTCATCCCAGAAATGCTGTTCTTCATCCCCAACTTCCCAAGGATGGCCTCTTGTCCCCAGTGGAGAATGACACCTGGGAGCCCCGGGGGAAGACTTACCTGCCTGCATAGGTGTCCTCAGGCCCATGCTCAGCCCTGCAAGAGAGTTCCTGTGAGACATTATGCCTGAATCCTGAACAGAATCCTCCTCTTCAGGAGCCTCTTGAGTCCTGGGGTCCTGACAGAGCAGGGCTCCCCCCCCTCACATCTTACCAAGATAGAGCAGGGCCATGAGAGTGGAGGTCATGGTGTTTCCTCTCTGAACCCAGCTGTGCAGGAGGAAGAGACCATGGAGTCCTCAGGGTAGACAAACTCACAGGGTGTGGTCACTGGGAGGCTGGCCCTACTTGGCACAGGCTTGTCACATCAGCAGTAACTCAAGAAGAGGAACAGTGTCTTCCCAGAAGCCTAGTTGTTGTTTCCATGATCAAGCAGCAAACTGCTCCAGAGCCTCCTGAGACGCCCCTTGCAGGAGAGGTGACCCAGGGTATGTCCTTCCAGGTCAGAGGTTCCCCCACAGGGTACCCTTCACCTTGTACCTGTCCATCAGCCTCCCTGTGGGTCCTCCCCAGGGACAGTGGTCACCCAGGTCCTAGAGATGCTTCAGGAAGATGGGGGTCCCTGTGCCTGCAGGGCTCAGGTCAGCAGAGACACAGTCTCCTCCTCACTGTGCAGTTCAGGTGAGTGTCAGTGTGACAATGAGCACAAAGGACAGACACAGGGAAGTGAGGGAAGGATGCACACCCCTTCCCCTGGCCCCAGAGCATGGCTGTCTTTCTATCCCAGCCCCATTCATGAACTTTCTTTTCTTTCTCTCTCTCTGTTGCCCCCCACCTTTTTTTTCAATACTGTCCACCTCACCTTCCTGGAAACAAGACTCTGAGTCACTTGGCTGCTCATTGCCCCTTGTGCCTCAGGCAGAGTTCTCTTCCTCTTCCTTCAGTCCTGCATGTAAGCTTTAGGGGACTTTTATTTGGGTTAGAGGTTTGTTTTAAAGTTTTTTAATTTATCTATTGATTTCAGTGTGGGTGGGGCTGGGGGGCATGGGGAGAAAGAGAGAGAGAGAGAGATTAATTTGTTGTTCCACTTATTGATGCATTCATTGGCTGCTTGTTGTATTATCCCTGACCAGGGATTGAACCCACAACCTTGACGTATTGGGATAATGCTCTAACAAACTGAGCTACCCAGCCAGAGTACCAGAGTATTTTTTAAGAAAAAGATGACCGTTTTGTAAATATTCATCTCTCATCCTCTGCCTGTGTGGCCCAGATAATAACATCTTGTCTGTTCCCTTGTTTGAGTCATGTTGTTGCAAATTCCTCCCCTCTGAGAGGCTGCCGGTGTCCCGGTTCCTGGTTCCGGGGAAGGTCTCCGTCACGGTTCCCAACAGACCAGGTGAAGACAGGAGAGGCTCATGGCGTCAGCCTCCACAGTGCAGATAAATATGTGCCGTGGCCACCTCAGAGCCCTGGTCCACTTCAAATACCTGAAACGCTACTGACAACACTTCGGAAACAGGAAGAAATAGTCATTTTCTGGAAAAGAGAAGTGGACGTTCCCCAGATAGGTGGGAAACTGCAAGAAAGAATAGAGAACAAAGCTGAGTAGCAGCCAGTGCCCGGACCATCAGAGGTGGTAGAACAGAGGTTTCCACTTCAGCCGGGGTGGGGGGGGTGGCACACACAGATCCTCACAGGAAGGGGGCAGGGCTTCAGGTGAAGGCAGGAAGCTCTGGCCCTCTGACTTGTGTTTGCCGGCAGGCACAGGGCTGGCTCTGCTCACTGACACACCCCACGTGAGCCCTGAGCATTTCCCCCATTTGTGTGTGTAAAACAGATTTTTTTGCTGAATTTTGGTGACATGACTGGGTGTCCCCCATGTGAGCATGAGGTCAGCATTACCCATCCCTGCCTAACACCACACTGAGCAGGTGCTGAGTCTGAGGGAGTGGATGCCATGGGGCAGGGCAGTGGCCACTGGAGCCCCTGGTCAAGCTGACTCCCAGGGCAGACCTGGAGAACCTGTGAGAGGCCAGGGGTGTGAGGAGAGAGACTCCTGCACAAGTGCACAGTGGAGAAATCCTAATGATGACAGACAGTGCTGTGGACACCATCTACTGATACTGGGGGCTGTCACACTCAATGAAAGAGAGTCAATAGGAAAATATGAGAGCAAATTTAAATTAAACATTTTTAAATACCTGTAAAAATAAAGAGGGATATTAAATATTTCAGGCAGTAGTGTGGTTTGTATTACAGAAGAATGGGAAATGATTGAGAGGATTTAGAAACTTTAGAGATGAACATGCAACAGAAAGAACGCATTAAAAATACCATTCCCATCCAGGACTAGACCCAGCTGAAGAAACATTGATGAAAATGGAGGATGAGGTTGAGGAAATTTCCAGGATATGGTGCACAGAGACCAGAAGTGGAGATTCGAGATACTTGGGGACCAGATTGAGGAGGGCAAATGCCACATCTGTTAAAAGTTAGAAGGAGAGAAGAGAAAATGCAATCTAGTAGCTGTTCAAGAGATAATTGAACACTTTACAGACTTGAGGAAAGACCAACTGATGTTAGGATGCATATGTTTAAAAATAAAATCTGTGCCCTGGCTAGTGTGGCTCAGTGAATTGAGTGCCCACTTGTGAACCAAAGTGTTGCCGGTTCGATTCCCAGTCAGGGCACACGCCTGGGTTGCAGACCAGGTCCCCAGTAGGAGGCCTGTGAGAGGCAACCACACATTAATGTTTCTCTCCCACTCTTTCTCCTTCCCTACCCACTCTCTAAAAATAAATAAATAAAATTTTAAAAAAAGAAAGAGTAGGTAAAATGAGATTATGTGTCTGTTTATGTGCTTTTCACATGCTATTTTTCCTTTCTGAAAACCAGAAGCTAACAAAAATAGTTACTTCTGATATGTGGGGGGTAAAGAGTGCAGGGGAGAGATTCAAGTGGTCATCTCTGATTGTACCATTCTAGGCAGTTGGCACTTTTGAGACCTGAAAATATTCTCCATATTCAAGACACAATTAAGTCAAAAAGATGAAAAAACACACTCTGACATGAATATAAGCAAATAAAAATAAATATGAGCTTATTGATATTCAATCACCACAGCTACATGATGAAACAAAAAAAAAGCAAAAACCAAAAAAGGAAATCTATGAATTTGCTAGGAATTGGGTTTTCAAATAAGGGTACAGCATAAGTGAACCTGTAACGTTACCCCAGGTGGGAAATACCTGTGTGGATGGACACCCTGCTTCCTCCCTGATACTCAATGGTCCATACAGAACAAAATCCCAGCAGCCCTGACTTCACATAACCCAAGGTCATGCTTTCTAAATACCGTTCCCAATGAATGGGACCCGAGACCGTGGGGGCTCCTGGTCCAGGGCAAGAGCACAGATGGGCAGGGGCTCCTTGTCAATCTACACAACTCGACAGGGCCCAGCGAAGGAGTGTGAATGTCTCAGAAAGCTCAGCAGGAAAGGACCTTTCTTGGCCAAGTCTGGGAAGCTGACCGGCATCTCGCAGAGAGGAGGACCCTCTCCCAGCAGGACACAGACACCAGCAGGACACAGGCATCTTGCAGGCAGCACGCCTGCCCTGGAGGAGCACCTTTCCCCCAGACAGGCTCAGATCCAGAGCAGAGAGGGGCTGGCACTTCCCTGGAGAGGAGGAGCCTCAGTGAGAGCAAAGGGAGCCTCCCTCCCCGTTGCCCTCACAGCCGGGACAGGGGAGGGCGCTGTCTCCCTGCGCAGCCCTGCTCTGCAGGAAATCAGGTGACTGGCCCTGGTCTCGTCCTGCGTCCTGGCTGCAGGGGGACCCAACGAGGGTGCAGCTCAGCCACACATGCAGCGTCTCACAGTCAAGCACCGTCCCCCGACACCGGAGCCCACAGCGTGCAGAGCTGGGCTGTTGACTCTAGTGGCCGAGTTTGGGTGAAGTGTAAGGGCGTGAGGTCAGAGGCTTGACAGGAAACTTCTGCCCCGGCGTCCATGCCAGGCTCCCAAGTCTCCAAGTGCTGCTGTGACAAATGCGCAATGCGCACCAGTGTGATGGCTCACAGCAACCCAGGTGTGTGATCTCAGGGTTCGGGAAGTCGGGAATAAAAAAGAGCTGACCTCGAGGTGTCAGATGTCAGAGAAGGTAGTCTGCAGGGCTACCTTCTCTCCTGGAGGCTCCAGGAAGAGTCCACCTCTTGTCTTCCAGCTTTTAGAGACCCCACATTCTGTGACAGGCGGCCCCTTCCTCCCTTGTCTTCAAAGCCAGTGGGTCCTTCTCAGGAGGCGTTCTTGGGACCCAGTGTCTGCTTCCTCCTCCACCTCTGATGAGCCTATGATGCCCTTGACCTTTGTCACTCACGCTATCCTGGGGTCACCTGATAAAGTGTCCACGTTCTTGCTTTCACTTCCCTGCATGGGAACCCAGACTGGGGCTGCTGGATGGAGGGAGATTCCCTGTTCAGGTTCTGAGGAGCAGCCCTGAAGGTCCGCTCAGAGGCTGCACCACTTTGTGTCCCCACCAGGGGGCCCAGGGGCTCCTGCTCTTCCCACAGGGTTGCCACACTCACTGTTTTTAGGTTATGTTTAATTTATTCTTCAATTACAGTAGACATATAATACATTATTTCACGTGTAAAGCAGAGGGGTTAGATATTTACCTACCTTATGACATGACTCCCCCCCCAGTAAGTCTAGTGCCCACCATTTAAAAATAATTTCCACAATAGTCGTCCTGAAGAGTGTGAGGTGATATCTCACTGTTGTTTTCACTGAAGTCCCTTCCCTGGACTTTAGATCCAAGTCAACTGGGACCCGAGGGGACAGATGCAGGAAACAGAGACCATTCCAGGAACAGAGGTGGGTGTGCAGGGGCTCAGAGCAGGTGCAGTTCCACAGGTGACAGGTGTGGGCCAGTCCAAGGTCTTCAGCAGCACAAGGCCAGCTCCCAGAAAGCAGGTGAGAACTTGGGGCTCCAGGAGGAGGAAGAGGGAGGCAGAGACTGCAGGGACCTGGGGCCTGTCTGAGATCCGGGAGAGGAGGGACACCCAGGCAGTAGTGGGGCAGGGCTGTGAGCGGGTGAGTGTCAGGTCTGGAGCCAAACCCTGGAGAAGGAGCCAGACCACACAGGAGGCCAGTCCCCGCTGCTCCTGCACCCTTCCGAGGACAGACTCCCCTGCACAGGGCAGCCTCCCCAGGGTCAATATGAAATTCAGAGAGAGAGGGTGACTCTGGATCTCTTGGGCTCCAGTGGGAGCCTGGGGCACTGGGGGAGACCCCTCTTGGAGGCTGGAGTCTAATTTATCTGGCATTAGCTCCCTTGTCTCCATTCCTGTGGTGGGTGTGGCCAACTGTGCCAGCTATGCCCAGCCTCTGCCAGAATTGCCACCAGGATCAGCAACACGACTCCAGAGAGGGCAATGCAGATATAGTTCCCCATAGTGTAATTCTGGGAGGCCAGGTCTGGAAGAAGAGGACAGGGGGTCACTGACAGGTGGATAAGAATCAGCCAAGCCCAGGACCTATGAGTCAGCAGCTCCTCCTCTATTTGGCAGGCCCGTCCTTTCCCCCATTCCCCTGGGCATGCTCCCAGGTGACTTAACACTTTGGGAGCCTGCTCCTATGCGTGGGGGCATGACACCTTCGGCTGTTCCTAGGAGTGAGAAAGGACCAGTGTTTGTCTCCTGCACAGACTTTCCCTTCCCTGGGAGCACCCAGCCCTTCCCCTCCCCAGCTCCAGGCCCCTGGGTCCACCCTCAGGTGTCACTACCAGTCCACCATAGCACCCCAGTTCAGGGCACAGCTGCAAACTCAGACTCACTCAAGGATCCAGGGAGAGTCTCCCCTCCCAACTCTCACACCCCCAGGTTGAACAGGCCTCTTGCAGTTGAGGAAGCAAGATCTCCCTGCCTGGTGAGTGTCCACCCACCAAGACAGAAGCAGGACCCCTCCCCACTGCCACCCCACCGGCCACTCCCCAGCAGAGCCACCAGGAGAGGAGGCTGCAGGCTGAGGTCCCCACTCTCCAGCCCCAGAGGTGCTCTGGGTGGGTGGGGGGGGACTCAGGTATCCAGGGGATCCTGTGAGGGTGCAGGAGAAGCCCTGAGCCCAGGTCCCTCCATGGCCTATACCTCTCAGCCTGGCCCTGCAGCTCCCACAGCGTCCACTCCCAGCCTCTTTCCCTGCACCTCTCAATACAGAGGATGCCCCCTGAACTCTCCCCAGAGAGGAAATAGGGACATGTGAGGGCAGCAGGATAAAATTCTTTGCGTCTACTTGTCTGAGGGGCTGGTCATCACTCACAGAGGCAAACAGGGCAGGAGTGGTGGGAGCCACCTCAGCTGACCACAGGGGGTCCTGCAGATTGATCCCACCTATCAGGGCCACTGTGTCTCCCTCAGTCCCCCAGGTCAGCGAGGGGTTATTGGTCAAGATAAACTGGACATGCTCAATGACCCACTAGAGATGAGTCACAGCAGCATAAAGAGCAAAGGGAAAGATAATACTAGGTTTTGAAGGTAAAATTCCTCTCCACATCACCTTCCTTGAGTCAGTCACTTGAAGCCTGACTCCAGGACCACTCAGGAGGTGACCACACAGACAGGAAGGAGAGTCTCTACCCAGAGGTCCCCCAAAGCACCTTCCAGCCCTGTTCAGAGACCCATGGACCCCATGACTTGCCCAGTGGTGGATGAACCACCCACAGGGGACACATTGTCTGAATCCCCCACTCGGCTTATCCAAGTGGACAAAGAAGGTTCAAAAACATTCTGAATGAATGACAAACGGTCCATTGAAGGGGGTCTGTCCCTGGAATTCCATTCCCCACCCAGCTCTGCAAGACAGCTCCCAGACCACCCCATGCTGGGGCTCTGTGTCCAGGCCATCATGGTGTCCAAATGGGAACAGGGCTCCAGGGCCCTGAGCCAGGTGTGAAGGCCCAGGGACAGGAGTGCAGAGGGGCAGGGGAACCTCAGGGCTGGGGGCCAGCAGGAGGGCAGGGAGCCTGGGACAGAGGACAGAGGTGGGGACAGGGTGCAGGAACCTGAGGCAAACCTGAGGGTAGAGAGAAGAGGTCCTCACCTGCCACCTTCAGCTCCAGGAACTCACTGGGTTCAGACCACCTGGGCCCTTTGAGATAGTGACACCAATAACTCCCAGCAGTGAATTCATTCACGGCATTGATGCAGTATCTGGCCTCTGTGCCCTGTAAACCACATTGAGACTTGCTTCTCTGATCCCTATAGTCAGATGTTCTGTTCTTCTCCACCAGACGGAATAGCTCAGCCCAGGCTGGGCCCCGGCACACGATGGTCACAGGCTGTCCCCGGAGGATCACAGGTTCAGGCTCAGCCCTGATGGAGGGTTTGGGCAGGGCCTCTGGGAGGAAGCAGAACACATCTCAGGGTCTCTCAGGAGGAAGTCACCACACTCACAGTTCCCCATTTTCTGTGATAACTTCTGTGCTTTTAGCAAATGTGCAGAGTTGTGCAACCATCCCCATGACTCAATTCAGAACATCCCACCATCCTTTCCCCAAACACCACCCTCTAAGTCCACTCAGGGGACTGTGAATCCTCATCACTGCAGAGTGATGCCTCTGACACAGGACCCCAAATGCTGGTCACATGTTGGGCTTTTCTCAGGGTTACACAGAAGGGACCAGAGCAGCCTAGGGCCCTGGGCCATCTCCCTGACCACAGCCACTTTCTAGGGGACAGAGATGTTGGGAGGGAGGCAGAGGGTGAGGATGATGGGTCACCTGTGGGGACAGGGAAGCAGGTGTCTGAAACGTGGGAGTGACCTGGGTCAGGATAGAAGGGCAGCTGGGTGACACTGTGGGGACAAATGGGGACTGGAGAGCTCCCCTAGGAGCCCAGTGAGGGGTGGAGCTCCACCCAGATCTGGTCACATGACCCAAGTGAATGGGGATTCCAACTGCATTTTCTACCTTCCTCACAGCCTATTCTTATTTTCTAGTATTGAGGGTCCTGAAAGCCCATGTGTGCCACGTGGCTGGGGGAGGATGGGAGAGAGGACTCGTAGCCCTGAAACAGGAAGATGGCATCACAGCATGTGATCCCTGATAGAGGCAGGTGCTGGCCGAGGCTTCCCACTTGTTTACTCACTCGCTCCCTTGCTCCTTCTTTCATCCACATCCTAGCTCCTCTCCATCCATCAGCAGAGGGACTCCATGTGCCACTGGCCCCACAAACACAAGACTTACACACAAGGACCTACTGCCTTGTCTAGAGGGTCCAGGGAGCACAGAGCCTGATGGAAGGATCATGCAAACCCACAGCCATATGCGGTGGCATGTACCCCAGTGAATGTGGGAGTCTCAGGGATGATGAGGGACAGCTGATCTCATCAGGGAGGCACATGGGAAAGGGACTGAGATGAGGTACAATGGTCAAGTGAGAACTAGCCCAGTCCAGTGAGAGGAGACATCAGCGTGGGAAGCTGTCGAGCGAACAGTACCAGAGTGTTTGTGGAAGTGAAAGCAAGGCTGTGTCTTGGCTGATCAGTGAGTCAGACAGCATGAGAACAGACCCATCCAGACAGAGGGAGGGGCCTGGGTCTCGTCCTACCTGAAGATAAGCCATCACAGGACTTTAAGGAATATTAATACTTTGTCAGAAAACCCAACATACATGAAAAATGGAATTTAAAAAGGTAGACTCACCCTCCTGCATGTGGCTGGTCTGCGTCAGGCAAAGCACTGGAAGAGTAGCTGTGGTGAAAAAAAAAAACACCCAGTGCCCAGCCTCCTCCCAGGGCTGCACTCAGGGGCCCTGATGGAGGCAGGGCTCAGCCCCTGAGAATGTCCAACTCCCTCCTCAGCATTACCTCTGAGCACAGCCCTTCTTCTGGCTCTGAGCTTCAACAAAGTCCCAATCCCCTCTCCCAACAGGTACTCAGTCTGAATCTGTCCCCACACCCAGGTACCCTCTTCTAGGATTCAGCTTTTCATGGTCACACTTGGGTCAGAGTCAGAGCTGAGGGGTCAGACCCCCAGGAGGGACCAGGAGTCCCCTGGGCTGGAGTCAGGACTCAAAAGGGATGAAGACACCTCCCCAGGCTATCACCCCTCTGTCCCAGGATGTTATCCCTCCATTCCAGCACTCACCGAGGACCAGGAGGAGGCTGGGAAGGGACTCCATGGCCAGACCTGCAGCCTGCAGGTCATAGAGCTGGATGGTGATGGACAGAGACTGCATCCAGCACAGTAGACAGGAAGTGTGGGTCAGGGGTTGTCCTGGGCTTGCTGCATCAATGTCCTCATGCAAAGGGGAAGAGCTAATGCAGAAGGTCTTGGTGGCACCCTGATTACAATTCCTGTGAGACACTGAAAGAGACTGGTGCCCTGCCCCATGCAGGAGGCTGCACCATACCCAGGGCCCAGGGAACCACAGCAGAACTGAGACCGTGTGCAGTACAGGGGTGGGGCTACAGCAGAGGCCGATGGCTGCGCTCACCAGGGCTAGGGCCCCAGTGACTGTGGCCCCAGATCACAGGCACTGTCTGTCATCAGTGCTGGCAGCGGGGCTCAGGCTACTGCTAGAGTCTCAGCCTTGGAGGCATACCCCCCATAAGAAATGTATATGGCACGTGGACCTGAGGGAAGCTGACAGCATGTTCAAGTCCACACATGCCACCAGCACATTCACCTAAGTCTCCTGGAGCTTCCAGCCAGAGCCAATCCACACTACTGAGTTGTTTCCCACTACTGCCAAGGCCAAGTGTGTCCTGGGAATTGCCCACCCTTTCAGGACAGAATCATATGGGCTGGAAAGATCAGCAAAAAAGATGTATGGAGAAGCATGGAAAGCATGCAGTTTATCCACAATGGCACCTGCATCTGTAACACCAAAGCCCTCCTGACACTGTCTCCTGGCGAGGACACATTTGGCTCTACCTCGTGGAGAAAGAGGTTTGGACCTAGTCTTGGGGTGGGGTTGTGGTGGGCATAGTAACAGCTGTGGTCCGGGGTCTCTCCCTGGTCATCATTGTGACTCTCGCTGTCCTCTACCAAAGGAAGAGCCCTAAGGGCGATGACACTGGCTGCAGCCCTTCAGAGAGGGTATCACTGGTTGCACGGGCTCCACAGAAGCCCCCCTCTGACACAGGGGGTCTGGTATAGAGCCTGCCTCCTGCACCTCCCCAGGGCCCAGTCATGTATATGTAGGTAGATGACCCCAGGGACATCACAGTGACAAGATCAACAAGTCCAAGTCTGCAGTGTATGTGGACATCTGGAAAACTGAGAAGAAGACCCAGATCCTACATGAAGTAAGACACAAAATCAAACTGGACTCTGGTGCAGGGACGTGGGCCAAAGCAATAGGGGAACTCGGACAAGGACAAGCACCCAAAAAGAGAAGAAGACAAAGACAAAGGACGTGTGTGAATATTCTATTTACTCTTCTGATGTGAGGAGCCAGTGGTGAGTGATGAAGACATGGAGTGAGTCTATGTATATAAATCATATGGCTGCTTTTTGTACTCTCTGCATTCAGGGTCATGTACAGTTGGAGAAACTCAGCATCATTCCAGTCTCTGTCTTAGGTGTGGTTTCCCTTCAGGGAGACGTACTGATCTTTAGTGTCCCATCTCCCTGAGCCACACCAGTCAGGGTCTCTTTTTTTTTTGTTTGTTTCTTTTTTGTTGTTAGTTCATTTTCCGAGGTGTTCTCCGTGGACGGAACTGATGAAGGAGGAGATGAAGAAGTGTCTAGAGAGTTCCCGCATCCTCCCCACAACTCATTCTGCCCCCTGGCAGCCCCCCCAACACAAACCTGTGCTTTCTGTATTCACTGAGAATGAAAGTAAAGACAGATCAGTAAACATGTATTTATATGTATCATCTCTCCAGTTGCTGGATTATTTTTTACTTATAAAAATATTTTTAATTTAAAAAGTCCTGAAAACTCATAGTTACATGGAGGTCATGGGACAATGTTGGGGAAGGGGACGTGATGGGCAGTGTCCACTTCTGGCCCCTTTAGTTTGGGGACTGTCCCGAGATGCTTCCTTTTCCTTCCTGGCATCCGTCCTCTTTGGGAGGGAGTCTGAGGGCTGAGTTCCAAGACAATTCTTAAGGAAATACAGCAGCATTGAGAGTTCAAGCTGTTTCCAGATGAGTTTCAAACCTCCCACAGATGTCACCAATTCTCTTCTCAGTCGGGGCACATGCCTGGGTTGCAGGCCAGGATTCAGTAGGGGGCATGTGAGAGGCAACCACGTATTGATGTTTCTCTCCCTCTCTTTCTATCTCCCTCCCTTCTGTCTAAAAATAAATAAATACAATCTTTTAAAACAATAAAATAAACTGAAATCTGCTTCTTGACCCTTATGGTATATTAAGAAAATCAAGGCACATTTGAAATGGTGGGCAGAACTTTTTCAATACCGACCCTCTCCCTAGGTGATGCCAATTTGAAATGCAGAGAGGTGAGTGAGTGCCTGGCTTCTCCTGCTGTGTGGGATCCTGTACCTACAGAGATACACTACAGAACAGGGGAAGATTGCAAACCACATATTGGATGCAGAGTTAGTATCCAAAATATATAAAGAAATCTCATAACTCAATAGTAAAAATAATTATTACAAGTGGGCAGAGGAAGTAAATAATTTTTGAAAGAAGACTTACAAATGGCCAACAGACACATGAAATGATGCTCAACATCACTAATGATCAAGGAAATGCAAATCACCGCCACAATGTGATATCACCTCACACCTGTTGGAGGTAAGTAGTATTGGTAAGGATGTGGAGATAAGGAAATCCCAGTCAGGTCCCCAGTAGGGGGCGCATGAGAGGCAACCACACACTGATGTTTCCCTCTCTGCCTTGCCATCTCTCTAAAAGTAAATAAATAAAATCTTAAAAACAGAAAGTAGATAAAATAAGATTATGTGTCTGTTTACATGTTTTTCACATATTATTTTTTCATTCAGAAAACTAGAAAATAACAAAAATAGTCACCTCCGATATGAGGGGATACAAGGGGAAGGGAATAGAATCAAGTGGCCATCTCTGATTGTACCATTCCAGCAGTTGTCTCTTCTGGAACCTGAAAATATTCTCCATATTCAAGATACAATTAAATCATAAAAGATGAAAAGACATACTCTGACATGAATATAAACAAATAAAAATAAATAGGAGCCTATTGATATTCACTCACGACAGCTACATGGTAAACCCCCCACCCCTCAATAAAGGAAATTTATGAATTTGCCAAGAATTGGGTTTTCAAATAAGTGACACGGGTACAACATAAATGAACCTGTAAAGTTACCCCAGGTGGGAAATACCTGTGTGGATGGACACCGTGCTTCCTCCCTGATACTAAGTGGTCCATAAAGAACAAAATCCCAAAATCCCAGGAGCCCTGACTTAGTGTAACCCGAGGTCACTTTTTCTAAATACTGTTCTCAATAAAAGGGACCCGAGATCAGTGGGGGCCCCTGGTCCAGGTCAGGAGCCCAGATGGGCCCGGGCTCCCTGTCCATGTACAAAGTGCAATGGGGCCCAGCTAAAGAGTACCGGTGTCTCAGAAAACAAAGCAGGAAAGGACCTTCTGAGGCTAAGTCTGGGGAATGACCAGCATCACAGAGGGAGGGGAACCTGCTCCCAGCAGGACACAGGCACCTTGCAGGCAGCAAGCCTGCCCTGGAGGAGCCCCTTCCTCCCTGAGACCAGCTCAGATCCAGAGCAGAGAGGGGCAGGCACTTCCCTGGGGAGGGGGAGCCTCAGTGAGAGCAAAGGGAGCCTCCCCTCCCCGTGTGTGTGTGCTGTCCATGCTGGGACAGGGGAGGGCAGGAGTCTCCCTGCACAGCCCTGCTCTGTGCGAAAACAGGTGACTGGCCCTCCTCATGTCCTGTGTCCCAGCTGCACAGGGGGACCCAGCGGGGGTGCAGAGCAGCCACACATGCAAGGTCACACAGTCAAGCCCAGTCCCCCAGACCCAGGAGCCCAGGGTAGCCCGGCTGGGCTTCTGGCTCTGGTGGCAGAGTCTGGGAGAAGTGTCACGGAGTGAGGTCAGAGGCTTGTCAGGAAACCTCTGCCACAATTTCCCGAAGATGCTCGGGGGCATCCTGAGACCCCAGAGTGTTGAACACCAGGCTCCTGAGAGCCCCCGCACTGCTGTGACAAATGCACACCAGCGTGGTGGCTCACAGCCGCGCAGATGTGTGATCTCAGTGCCCAGGAGGTCAGAAATCTGAACAGGATGACCTCAGTGTGTCCAGGGCCACCTTCTCTCCTGGAGGCTCCAGGGAGAGTCTGTCCCTTGTCTTCCAGCATCTAGAGACCTCGAATTCTGTGACACTGGGCCCCTTCCTCCCTCGTCTTCAAAGCAAGTGGGTCCTTCTCAAGAGGCGTCACTCGAACCCAGTGTCTGCTTCCTCCTCCACCTCTGAGGAGTCTGTGATGCCCTTGAACTTTGTGAGTCACGCTGTCCTGGGGGCGCATGTACAAGTGTCCACTTCCCTGCTGTCACTTCCCTGCATGGGAACCTGGACTGGGGCTGCTGGATGGAGGGAGATTCCCTGTTCACATTCTGAGGACCAGCCCTGCAGATCCACTCAGAGGCTGCACCACTTTGTGTCCCCACCAGGGGGCCCAGGGGCTCCTGCTCCTCCACAGCTTTGCCACACTCGCTGTTTTTAGGTTAGTATGTTTAATTTATTCTTCAATTTCAGTTGACATATAATATCTTATGTCAAGCGTACAGCACAGGGGTTAGACATTTACATACCTTATGAAGTGACCTCCCCAGTAAGTCTAGTGCCCACCATTTAAAAATGATTTCAGCATAGTCGTCTGAGGAGTGTGAGGTGATGTCTCATTATTGTTTTCACTGAAGTCCCTTCCATGGACTTTAGATTGAAGTCAACTGGGACCCGAGGGGACAGATGCAGGAGACAGAAACCACTCCAGGAACAGAGGTGAGTGGGAGGGACCCAGAGCTGGTGCAGTTCCACAGGTGACAGGTGTGGGCAAGACCAAGGTCTTCAGCAGTACAAAGCCAGTCCCCGGAAAGCAAGTGACTACTCGGTCTCCAGGAGGAGGAAGAGGGAGGCAGAGGCTGCAGGGACCTGGGGCCTGTCTGAGATCCAGGAGAGAGGGGACACCCAGGCAGGAGTGGGGCAGGACTGTGAGTGGGTGAGGGTCAGGTCTGAAGCCAAACCCTGGAGAAGGAGATGGACCACACAGGAGGCCAGTCCCCGCTGCTCCTGCACCCTTCCCAGGACAGAGTACCATACACACAGCAGTCTCACCAGGGGCACCATGAAACTCACAAGACACAAGTGGCTCTTGGGCTTCAGTGTGAGCCTGAGGCCATGGAGAGG